TCACAGTTTTGGAGGTTGGAAGTTTGAGATCAAGGTGGCTTCTCCGAGGCCTCCTGCTTGACATGCAGATGGCCGTCTTCTCACTGTGTCTTCATATGGCCTCGCGCACATCCTGGTGATGCTCCATTTTATAAGGACACCAGTTGTATTGGCTTAGGCCCACCCATGTAACCTCGTTTAACCCTAATTACCTCATTAAAGACCTTATCTCCAAATACAGTCACATTCTGAGGAATAGGGGTTAGGACTTCAACGTAGGAATTTTTTGGGAAACACAATTCAGTCCACAACACCAGGAATTGATCTAATCACTTTATTTCTATTTATTTGCTTATTCCTCACAATCAACCAAGGATTAAGTACTATTAGTATTATTATTATGAATGAGGAAACTTCTGTTTGGAGAACTTAAGTAACTATCTCTAAGCCTCCATCACTAGAAAGAGACTGTATTTTTTTCTTTCCTATTGCTGCTGCAACAAATTATCATACTCTCAGTGACTTACAATGACACAAGTTTATTATCTTACAGTTGTGTAGTTCAAAAGCCCGGAGAGTGTTTCTGTGGGCTACAGTCAAAGTGTGGCAGCCTGCACTCCATTCTGGAGGCCCTGGGCGTAGTCTGTTCCCTTGGTCTTCCCAGCTTCTAGGGGCTGCTCACATTCCTTGGCTCGAGGCCCCTTGCCCCATCTTCAGAGCCAACACCAGCAGGTCAAGTTGTTCTCACATAGCATCCCCCTGACCTCTTCTGTTTCCCTCTTACAAATTTAAGGACCCTGTGCTTATATTAGGCCCACCAGGATAATGCTCAAGAAAACTCCTTAAGATCAGCTTATTAGTTATCTTAATTCCCCTTTGCTTTGTAATATAATCATCTTATGTTGGTGTTGAGTTGTGTTTTTCTTTCTTTCTTTTTTTTATTTTCTTTCTTTCTTTCTTTTTTTTTTTTTTTTTTTTGAGACGGAGTCTCGCTTTGTTGCCCAGGCTAGAGTGAGTGCCGTGGCGTCAGCCTAGCTCACAGCAACCTCAAACTCCTGGGCTCGAGCGATCCTACTGCCTCAGCCTCCCGAGGGACTACAGGCTGTAGCTGGGACTACAGGCATGCGCCACAATGCCCGGCTAATTTATATATATATATATATATCAGTTAGCCAATTAATTTCTTTCTATTTATAGTAGAGACGGGGTCTCGCTCTTGCTCAGGCTGGTTTTGAACTCCTGACCTTGAGCAATCCGCCCGCCTCGGCCTCCCAGAGAGCTAGGATTACAGGCGTGAGACACTGTGCCCGGTCTCTTTTTCTTATTTTCTGAGATAGGATCTTGCTCTGTCAGCCAAGCTAGAGTACAGTGACATCATCATAGCTCACTGCATCCTCAAACTCCTGAGCTGAAGTTGTCCTCCTGCCTCAGCCTCCCAAATAGCTGGGACTACAGTCACACGCCACCATACCTGGCTAATTTTTATTTTTCTTCTTTCTTTCTTTCTTTCTTTCTTTCTTTCTTTCTTTCTTTCTTTCTTTCTTTCTTTCTTTCTTTCTTTCTTTCTTTCTTTCGACTGGGTCTCACTCTTGCTCAGGCTGGTCTTAAACTTCTGGCCTCAAGTGATCCTCCCACCTTGGCCTTCCAAAGTGCTACAATAACAGATGTGAGTCACCAATTACAGGTGTGAGTCACCATGACCAGCCTTAAATTGTATTTTTCTGCAACTAAGCACTGAGAGATATTTGGGGCTAATGAAAAAAAGGACTAAAATTGGAGTTGGAATATCTATGCTCTATTTTTTACTGTACCAATCTCTAGCTAAGTCATCTTTGTCAAATATATATATTATGTTTCATATATTGTTCTGCATCTCTTTGCATTATGTTGTATTTCCTTATAGCAATGGTGATTTTGTCTCCCAGAGGGCATTTGATAATGTCCAGAGAGATTTTTCATTGTTACAACTGGGCGAAGAGGGAGGTGCTACTGATGTCTTGTTGGTAGAGAAACCAGGGATGTTGCTAAACACACTGAAATGCACAGGATACCCTCCCACCCTCAAAGAATTATCTGGCCCCAAATGCCAATAGTGATAATAGTGAGATTGAGAAACGCTGCCCAATTATTATGTGAAAAATAGATTGTAGGGTTGTAAGGGAGGCAGCCAGGGGATGAGTTAGAAGGAAATGGCTATGGTCCAGGCAAGAGATAATGGTGCTTTAGACTAACATAGTAGCAATGGAAGTAGAAAAGTAGTAGGCTTTTAAATTTATTCTGGAGATAAAAGTTATAGAACATTGAGATGAATTATATATGAAGAGTGTGGATGGTGTCAAGGATGATTGCCAAGTTGCTATAATGACCTTCTAGGTAAATGGAGATGCAGTTACTAAAATGTAGACTTCTAGAGGAATAATAGCGAATACTTAAAATAGATCTTATTTTATGTCAATTCTAGTCTAAGTATATTAAATTAACTCATTTAATCTTCATAACAGCCGAGGGGGGCTGTTATGGGAAGTTATTAATATCCCTTTTTTATGAATGAAAATGAAGGGGTACAGAGAGGTCAAGTAACTTGCCCAAGATCACCCAGCCTGTAGTAAGGGTTTTGAACACATAACATCAAATTCCAGAGTCTATGCTCTTAATCACTACATGATTCCACTTTCTAGAAGAGCAAATCTAGAGATAAAGACCAAATCTCTTTCCATGCCTTTATATCCTCCACTCCTAAGATCAGAGTACATGGTCAACGACTTGAACACTCCTTTGCTGATATTCTGTATTCCCTTTTCCCGTGATATGTCCATTGTATTCACAAGGCAAAACTCCCAACTTGAATCAGTCAGTGGTGTGCCTTTTCTGCTCTTATACCTGGGGGCTGAATACTGCATTGGCAGTCATTTTGCTTGCAAGCTATAAACATGTTTAGACTACTTTGCTTGAAGGAATGAACCTCCTGGAATGGGTTTCTGGTATCTAGTTCTCAGGGGATCTTTCTCCCAGGAATCTTCCTTATTGTGCTCTGTGAGTGGGGATGGAGCTGGGGTTCATGGTATGCATGGGCCTGTTCCCGCTGGGGTCAGTAGTGGGTCTCAGGACTTAGGGTCTGCATCCCTGACCTAGCTGCACAGATTCTGAAGCTCAGCATCCAGACCACCAGTCAAAGAGTTTATCCTGGGGATCCCATAAAATATATTTTATTTGTGCAGGAAGCTTATTTTTGTCCTGTATGGTTGTACCTCAAAGTTTTTTTCATATGTCTTGGAGCAATGACAAGGATTTGTCTTGGCTTTTCAGGGCTTATGAGGACGTGGCTTCCTCTGTGACTTACAGATCACTGTCCTTTTCCCCCTTAGGACATGAAAAATGTTTCCATCACAAGTTCCTCTGGTGACATGTTCATTTTTCACCTGGAAGGAGCCTGCAAATTGAAAGGTTTGGCTCATAACTTGGCATGGCAGAATGTTGTTAGCACTTCTGTGGTAGTGTTGGGTGAAAGGTTGTTGTCTTTATGCTAGGCTCTGAGGTGATTAATGAGAAAAGGGAACAAACAGGAAAACCAGGGCCAGGTCAGACTCAGGCTATAATCACAGCCGAGCACTGGAAAAGGATTTCCAACAGGACAGTCCTGCTCCTGGACATTCCCATCCCGGCTGGACAGGCTGGAAGCCAGCCATGCTGGGCTGTTCCAGATGTACCACTAATGGGTCTGTGACTGTCTTACCCTCCCTCTGTCCAATGAGGGAGATGAACTAGATAATCTTTAAGGTCCCTTCTTGCCCCATAACTCTTTGTGTCTATGGTTCTAAAGTTTTTCATTTTGTACTTAAAATATTTAAGCTATAAAGCCAAAGCAGGTTATAATTTTTTTTTTTTAAGTGGAAGCCAGAGGGAGGAAATCGGTGAGAGTCGTGTCAGAGGATGACCAAGTGTTGTGTCTGCGACGGGAGAATCAGACAGTGGAGTTAGCGCAAGCTCCAAGCCCTGCTGTGAACTGACCACACTCCGAGGAGCAGTCCTAACCTCTGATGAATTTAATAAGCCCAGCCTGTGATGCGCCTGCTTCATCTGCCAGGCTAGGACAGAGCTGGCCTTAGGTTTTGGCTGCCTGCCTAAGGATAATTACCTTTGGTGTGCACCTGTAATGGAAAAATTACTGGGCTGTCTAGTTTCAGAGCTGACACCGGGTGGAGCCTCATTCCATCCCTCTCAAGGTCTGTTTCTATCGAGCAGTAAGTACTGGTTAATAACAACGGCTGGGAGCCAGCATGGTGTCTTTGTGGATCGGCACATTATCTCTTTGGGCCCAAAGCTTGGCATATATGCCATGCTCTTTCACAGCTCAGGGTGGGGTGGGATATTGAATTGCAAAAAGCCCATGAGTGTGTATTACTGTGTTCAAATTTCATTTAAAAAGCATAAAACTATGTAAATAACACCATGCTTATTTAACTGCAGGGCCTGAGTAATGTTTAGTCTGACCACAGAAGCAGTTCATAAAAGGATTCTAAAATGCGTCTACTCGTTGCTCAAACACACCTGGATCACCTCCGTGTGCCAGGGCAGTGCTAGAAGCTGGGACTGCTGAGGTGAGCTGGATTTGCCTTCTGCCCACAGGGGCTTATTAAGGGGAGACAGACATACAAAGAAATAATGACAGTACAACATAACGCATGGTGGTGGGTCCTGTGATAGTGGTAGGGACAAAGCACTTTGGAAGACACACTAGATGGATTAACTGAAGCGTGTATGTGTATGTGTGCTTGTGTGTGGCAAGTGAGCCTTCGCTCAGTGGAGGCGAGGAGGCAGCCCGGGCTTAAAGACAAGCACACACTTATTAGATGGCGAGTGTGGGAATGAGATTCCATCATTCAGGCACAGGGCAGACTTGCTAAGCCACAGAGTAGATATTGTGGAGGCGAGTAGAGAGGAGAGGTTCATTCACTCTGCAGATGGTTCCTCATCACCCACTGTTGTCACAGGTGCTGTGAAAAGGCTGTGCGCTAGCAGAGGTGACCGAGAAGACAGTCCCGCCCTCACAGATCTTACATTTTGTTTTGAGGGAGAGTCCAAAAATAAATGAACAGTTAAAGAAATGGAAGTTGCAAATTCCAGTCAAGTAAGTGAACAGATAATGTGGATGTAAAGTGTGGTCAGTGCTCTGAAGGAAATGGCAGAGGAGCCGGGGCGGAATGGCTGGGTGGTCAGAGGTACAGGGAGGCGGCTCCGGGATGAGGCGAGGTGCACGCCAGGCTGAGAAGAGTAGGAAGGAGCCCGCCTTGAGCAAAGGGGTCAGGAGAGCATGCAGCCAAATGAGCATGTGTGAGGGCTCTACGGGAGGAAGAAGTCCTTGGAGAACCAGGAGAGACTAACTGGAACTAGGCAATGAATGAAGAGATGGGGGAGTGGGGAGGAGTGGCAAGGGGGCAGCTTAGGGGAAGAGCTTGGTGCCTCCTTTGCTCTGCTCCCACCCGATCTTGCTGCTCCGCAGTCCCCATGTTCCAAGGGCTTTCCACACGCTGACGATAAATAAAATCCCAAATCCAGTCAGGCCACACGGGCCTCTCCTGACCTCATTTCATACTGCTCTTGTCCTTGCTGCCCTCTGGCACAATGACCCTCATTCTTTTGCTGGAACCCTCCAGGCATGTTCCCAGAGCAGGAATCAGGCCCCTGCTCCTCCCTCCACTGGGAATGCTCTGCCCCCCACCATTACCAACCCTCACTCTCTGTTCACTCACTCACGTCTGTCCTCAAATGCCAGCTCTCCAGGGAAGCCTGACTTGACCACCATCTTGTGACACCAAAGTAGATACACCCCACACCCTGACACTCTAGCTATTTGCCCCACTTTTTTTTTTTTTATATATAACACTTAATGATGACTAGCAAGTATTTCAGATACATTTCTTTGTTTATCTGTTCATCTGCGGTGTCTTCCACTGGCACATACATTTCCTGAAGTGCACATATCAGGGCAGGGCTGCCTTCACGGGTGTGTGACCTGTTCAATTGAACAGGGCCACGTGCTCAAGAAGGACACTGTGCTTCGAGTCATCTCTGCTGCTGCTGCCTTGAAATTCTTAATAATTTTATCCTTGAATGAACGTGTGTATTGAGTGAAGTCCAATGTAGCAGTGGAGCATGCACAGACAGCATGAGCACAGGCATGCACTAGACTGTCGCACTCAGATGTGCCCACTAATGCCCACTGGGCAGGAGGGACCTCTGTGGCCTCACGTGTCAGGAGCCCACCCACACACAGCTACCGTGTAAGGAAAGAGGCCCAGAGGCTCGGCTTTCCTTTTTACAGAGTCCCACAGCTCAGGTGGTGCCCTAGTGGAGAACCCAGCTCTGTTATCTTAGCCACAGCTGGCTGGACCACATCACTATGTTACCATGTAGCAGGAATTCCTCTGCCTCTGAGGGGGCCTGGCGGGATGTGTGCCCATAGGGAGCACTCTGTACCGAGAGATGGTGAGTCAGTCAGATCCTTCTTTGGGAAGCATACCTGCTATGTGAACAAAGAGGAAATGGATCTTTCCTTACCTTTTCGTGCCCTGAACTAAGGACTAGAAATTGGGCAGAGAAAGAAAGACACTAACATTTGTGGGAACCTACTACAGGCCAGACATTTTGTAGTTGTGAGAAGCTACCACTTCTTCAGCGAACCATGTTGTATCCATGACGTGACAAGTGCAAAGACAAAAAAAGTAGGCTAAGCATAGCTGAGTGAAAGGATAAAAAATATTTCATTGATGTGATCTTTCAACTGCTGAGCCAACACTGGCAATCACCTATCTCAAAATGTGTTGTCACATGAAACAATGCCTATATTTGTTTCAGCTATTAGTAGGCTATTCTGTTACTAGCAGCCTTCCTGATGGATATGCTAGTCATTGTCCCAAGATATCAATCTTTTCTTTCCTCTTCCTTCTTCTGCCTTTATCTGCGACTGGTACCCACAGGCATGGCCTCATTTCACTGGGAGCTCTCTGTCAGCTGATGAATTTGTAGGACTCTCCTGTGGAATTTCATCTTTTCCACTAGTATCATGAGGTTTCAGGACACATCTATTAAATGTTTAAGGATACATTTTTATTACTCTATTTTGCTGCATTGAAATAATCTTTGTGTCATAGTTGTATTATAAATTTGGAGTGGTTAACTTAGTTTTAGCTGTGTGTGTGTGTGTGTGTGTGTGTGTGTGTGTGTGCACGCATGATTCTTGGAACAATAGACAATTAGCCTACTGTTTTACCTCTAGATTTATGAGGTACAATTGTAGGAAATTCGCAGCCTAAATCTTAATAGCAGGGCAAGTTGCGATGGGAACATAAAGCACACAGGTAATCAATAGAACACTTTGAAACAGGAGTTTCATGAAGGTGATGTGGTTTTAAATTATTAATATATTTTGGAAGCAGGAGACAAAGTGACGGTGTAGAAAGACAATGAAGGCTGAGAGATGAGAAAACTGTCTCCTAATGAAAGAAGCTGAATTTTCATGCTTTGTCTCCAGTGGCCAAGAGTGGTTAGTTTTTACATTGAACCATATGAAATTGCTGATATTCTACTTTTTTGGCCTATTTTAGCTAATATAATTATAGCCTCAATTAGCAACGACTCAAGCTTCTAAAAAAGTAAAGAGGAATGATTCATTACTGCTGTTACTATTATGTATTTATTACATAATAAACACATGTTTCCTGAATAAAAGAGAGATGCAGGTAAGTAAAGAGAAAAATAATCACATATACACATGATATATTTATACATGCTATTTTTGCTTATTTCTTAGAATTTCCATCTTTCTGCTTATTCTGCCCATCTGTTCTTACATGCTGTCTACTTTATGCAGTAGAGCCCTTGCCATATTAATCATAATTGTTTTAAATTTCTTCTATAAAGAAACTGCTGTTAATAGGCCTGGAGTAATGCGGTGGTAAGGTGTGGGGGGAGGGGAAGCATTCTGTGGCCCTGTGATTAAGTCTCAGTCCTTTATTGAAGCTGTGCCTCTTGACTGTGAACTTCACAAGTACTTCTCAGGTTTTTTATCCCCATTAGGTGGGACAGGATGGCTAGAGTGGGCTGGAGTTGGGTATTTTCCTTCCCTCAGGTTGGTTAGGTCCTGAAAAACCCTCCTTTGTCCAAGTGTCTTCAAACTACAGCCCGTGGGCCACATGTGGGTGTTTTTGCTCATTTGTTTTTTTACTTCAAAATAAGATATGTGCTGTGTGCATAGAAACTTGTTCATAGTTTTTTAAAACTATAGTCCGGCCCTCCAACGGTCTAGGGGACAGTGAACTGTCCCCTGTTTAAAAAGTTTGAGGTCCCCTGTAGGCTCTGGTAAAATAGTTCCTCCTGCGGGCAGACCTGCTCTGGCTTATTTCAAAATGGTTCCTTTTCCTCTCCCCTCAACGAAGGAAGTAAAGCTCGATTTTTCTCCGATATTCACTGTGAGAACCTGGTTAAGCTTCTAGAGATAAAACTCACAAAACTATGGGGCTTTTCTATTACTGGGTCACCCTGGAGTTTTTAACTCACACACCTGCCCACACAAATCCTATGGCAGTTCGGCAGTTAGACTTCAGGTTTCTCCACTTCCATACTGGTTCTCATAGAGGTTTCTGTTCCCTGGTTGCTGCTGTGGTAAATTGTGATTCTCTGTGTATGCCTGTCTGTCTCTCTAGTTTTGGGGACAGTGGTTTCCCTGTGACTTCACTTCTCTGATGGATCCAAGAATAGTTGTTGATTTTTCCATTTAGTTAGCTTTTTATTTGTTAGGACAGAATGATGACTGCCAAGCTCCCCGCATGCCAATCAGAAGCTAAAAGTCTGTAACCTCATTTTCCCACTTAACAATATATTGTGAATATATTTGATACCAGTAAATATATTTTTAATAGCTTGGTATATATTTCATTGTATAGATATACCATAATTGATTTGAGAACTAGCAAAAATTAATGGTTAGAAATATAGTTTCTGGAGTAAGACTTCCTGGATACGAATTTACCTCTACTACTTACTGGCTAGATGACTGGGAGCAAATTAATTCACTTCCTTATGCCTCAGTTTTCTCATCTGCAAAATAGATAATACTAGTACCTGTGTAATGGGGTTATTGGGAGGATTAGATTAGTTAGTGTATGTGTAAAGCTTCTAGAATAGTCTCTGGCACATAGTGCTTCTGTGACTATATTAGACATTATTAACCCATCCTCTGCTATTGGACATTTGTTTCCATTTTTTTTCTGTGATAGACAATGCTACAATTTGTCTACTTCGATCAGAATCTTTATAAACATCCTTAAGTACATCCTTAGCATATATATCAATTAGGACTCTGTTTTGACTATAAGTGACAGAAAATCCAACTCAAACGGCTTAAGTAAAATGGATAAGTAAATGTTCTGTGGTCTGAATATTCAGACCATTTTTCCCTCCAAAATTCACATGTTGGAATCCTAATCCCCCTGGGGGTGGTACCGGGAGGTGAGGCTTTTTGGGAAGTGATTAGGTGAGATGATTAGGTCATGAGAGTGAAACCCTCATAAATAGAATCAGTGCCTTATAAGAGGCCTCAGAGAGTTACCTTGCCCCTTCCACCATGATAGGATGCAGAAAGAAGGCACTGTCTAAGAACCACGAGTCTGTGAACCTGGAAGCAGGCCCTCACCAGAGACCAAATCTGCTAGTGCCTTGATCTTGGGATTCCCAGCCTCCAGAACTGTGACCAATAAATTATCTTGTTTATAAGACACACCAAGTTCAGGGTATTTTTTTAATTCTATGGAAAAAAACCACAAATTTTATTGCATTCCTTTTTACGATGGGGAAATACTGTTCAAGTAAGCACGATCAAACCTCTGTTAGAGCTGGTTAACGCTCATCTTTTATTATTGCATCGAAGTCTCTATAGTAGTGTCCAAGAAATTATGTTTAGGGTTCATCTGAAAGAAAATAGCAATTTGCATTGGCCTTGCAGACGCTGAAGGAGCTTTCATCTTTCATCAACAGGTCAATGCCACACACAGCCATCCCCAGGGTATCAGCACCTGGCTAGCTAGCTGCTTCCCTTGTTCACTCCATGAGCACATCATCCCCACACCACCTAGTGAGCAGGTGCTTTGCATCCTCCCATCTGTTGAACAGTGTAACATGGTGCCAGCCACATGGCTTCCCACAACAATGACACACACAGCCCATCCATGAGACTCTTTAACATACTTCTGGAACAGGTATGGCACTTCATGGAGAATAAGATGGCTTAGATTAGCCAAGTGGTGCTTATCTCGAGCCAAGATCTCTTCTTCCCTGACTCGACATCTGTCAAAACCACAACTTGGCATCCCCAGGTTATATATCTTGATCTGCTTGTTCTTCTTTTGCCTGGATTACTTCCTCTTGGATGTAAAGTCTATCAGTTTATTATAGAGGACATTATAAAGGATAAATGAACAGCCAAATGAAGACGTATATATGATGAGGTCTGGGAGGGCTCTGAACACAAGAGATTCTTTCTGTCCTGGCCAAGTTGGGGCACCCTCCTGGCACACGCATCCAGTTCACTAACCTGGAGGCTCCCATTCAGGGTATTTTATTTTAGCAGCCTGAACTAAGACAGATAGTTAGATACTTACAGTAAATAAATGTATTGGCTCATACAACTACAAAGTCTGGGGTTACCTCTAGTGCTGTTTGATCCAGGTACTGAAACATTTCTAGCAGGACCCAGCATCTTTCTACGTCTCCACCTTCCTTCCCCTTTTCCATACTGGATTTATTCTCAAGCTTCACATGGTAAAAAAATGTCTCAAGATAAATCCTCCTGGATCCAAGTCCAACAAAGAGGAGGTATGGCTTCTCTTTCTCAGAACTGGACAAAAATCCTCGACCACATTGGGCCATGAGCCCATCCTAGAATCAACTACTATGGCCGGCGGGGTGAGAGCACCGATGGCTTAGCCCTGGAGCTGGAAGTGGTGTGAGGCCAACCCAAATCACAGGAAATCATAATGGGCAGAGGGTGGCTTCATAAGTGAAAATACTAACAGAAATACAGGGGTGGAGGGAAGATACTGGGTGGCCAAAAAATAAAAAAGTCTTTTCTTAATGAATTTCTTAGATGGGGTATTTTTGAATGATAGGGAATATATATTTTTAAGACTTTTGATATATTCCAATTTTTGTGCTTCAAAAGTGTGTACCAATCTGCTTTCTCACTAATAGTAAAAGAAAGGGGCCATTTTTCTGGCATTGTGGCCAACACTGGGTATTATTAGCATAAGAAATTTGTATTTTTGATAGGTCAAAAAATTTCAATTTATATTTCTTTGTAAATTGAATTGCCTATTAGTATGATATATTTTTATATGTTTATTGGCTGTGTGCATTTATTCTTTTGTAAATTATGGCACTTCATTGACTCTGAGACACCATTGATTATAAAACACACCACTATTTTATGTACCTACCACCAAGAAATTTTAAAAAACAACACCCTATGCTACTAAACTATTACACAAATACTTATTTTCATTTGAAAGAGCTACTCTGATTTTAGAGATGTCAAAATATCTCTAATATGCATTTTGGAATCAATAAAATATGTTATCTATTAATGTTCTCATCTTTTTCTACTATATATTCTTCTTTTACTTATTAAATTTGTTGGTGATTTATTATAGATATTTTCCCCATTTATCATTCCATTTATAATTTTATGATGGTGTTTAAAAAAGCATATGGAAGTTTTTATATTTTAATGAAGTTCAATCTATCAGTGTTTTCATTTGTTGTTTTTGCCTTTGATGTAATATTTTCCATCCTCAGACTATTACATTATTTACATAAACTTACTTCTAGCATTTCTCCTATTTTATCTTTTAACTACATTTAATCTACCTAGACTTTATTTCATTGTGTGAAAAGGAAAAATTTCAAACTTTATTTTTTTCTCTCTACATTTAATCCACCTGGAATGTATTTCATTGTGTGAAAAGGAAAAGCTTCAAACTTTATTTTTTCAAATAGTTAACTATATATGCACCACTTATTAAATAAGCCATCGTTTCTCCACTGATTTAAAAGATCACCTTTACTGTGTACTTAATATGTCTATACAAATGGGTCTATTCATAATAATATAATAATCTACCTCTATTTTCTCGTATCATGACACATTGTTTAAATTAGTATATCTTTCTAATATGTTCTAATACCATATTTTATGGATTCTAAGGTATTGTTTTACATCTTGAGATTGCTGAAATCATTATGTCTTACAATAGAAAATAAAAAGAATTATAACTGACAACATTTAATTTTTTATTTTTTAATAGATGTAAAAATATTGTCTTGTAGTCAATAATACCTTAGATTCAATAAATTATGGTGTGTAAAAATGCATATCTACCCTTCTTATCTATCTTTTTCAATATTTTGGCTCTTGACTAGTTACTCTTCCAGATTAATATTAGAACCACTTTGTCAAAATATTTTGTGATTTAATGAGGTAAATTTCTAGATTAATGTAGGGAGAATAATCATCTTTATAATATTAAATATTTTCCATCATGAGAATATTTTCCTCAACATGTTTAAACATTGTTTAAAAAACAACACCCTCTGCTACTAAACTATTACACAAATACTTATTTTCATTTGAAAGAGCTACTTTGATTTTAGAGACGTCAAAATATCTCTAATATGCATTTTGGAATGAATTGTTTTCCTCAATATTTTCCTCATGTTTCTCTACTTAGTAAATTCTCTTTTTACTACCATTGGTAAAGTTTTTTAGATTTTTTTTCATGTAACTTTTACGTATTTCTTTCTAGACTTCTTAATATCAACTTATTTTTTTGTGTGTTTATGCAACTATGAATGGGATCTTTTTGTGTTATATTTTTTAAATGATTATTGCTACTGTATAGAAAAGCTACTGACTTTTATTTATTTTGGTAGAATGAATTTATCCTGGGAAATTGAATATCAGAAAAGAAATCATGGAATGAGCAAAGGATGAAGGATCCACAAAGTCAGAAGTCCGAGAGGAGGGAAATCAGGAGGGAGTAGTATCCACAAAGACAGGAGGAGAATGTGAAGAGGAAAACTTGCCATAAAAACAACTCTGATCATTTTACTGAACACTTACTCTCTGCCAAGTAGTGTGGGTGGAGTTTATGTAATCCTCAAAACAATCCCACAGAGTAGACACATTTCTTACACAAAAGAGGAAACTGGGGCCCAGAGAGAGAAAAATTTCCCTGGATCACACAATTGGTCAGTAGGAGAGATGAACTTTAAATCCTGGACATGTGACCCCAGAGCCACTAAGCTCTTAAACAGTAAGTGATACAGCTCTTCACCTTCTTCTTTCTCCTTACTGAAGAGAAATACCTCCTAACCAACGCAAACAGAAAACCCACTAGGAAGGGTGGCATTTGACCCTTGATAGATGGGCAGGACCTTGGCAACAGAAATGGGGAATCCCAGATAGGTTTGTCAGATTTAGCAAATAAAAATACATGACACACAATTCAATTTGAATTTCAGATGAATAATTTTTTTTTTTAGTATAAATATGTCCCCATTGTATAGCATGCTCCAATTAGGCCAGAATTCTCAGTCTTCCTGGTAACTTTTTACTTCTGTACTTCAGCGCTCATGGAATTCATCTCTATGAGACACCCTAACCTTTCTTTTTGCCAATCTTAATGTGACTTACCTTTCAAGTCCCAGCCTATCAATATGAACTATCATTTGCCTGTACCCCCACTTACAGAATGCATTCATATAGATGACCTCTTTTGATTTACAAAGCAGTCATGCAAATAAGCATGGTATGCATTATTATTGATCCCTTGTGTAAATGGGAAAACAAGCTTGGATCCAAGTTACGCAGGTCATCCATTCAAGTAATAGAGATTCCAGTGTCTTTTGATAGCAGCTTTTATTCTTTTCATACTCATCCACACTGAGCCTAATACCAGCCTTCCACTGTCTCAAGGCACAGGTGCTTGTCCTGTGCATTGACCTCTCAGTTTGGCTCTTGATTTAAAGTTTATTCTTATTGTTCAAAATATGTAAATCTTATTTTTGCATCAACACTTACATTCTCCCAAAACAGAAATCTGCCTTGTTCAACTATTGCCCCTCCCCTTCATATATATCCAGTTCAAAGTGATGAATTTTCTAAAAATCCTGTTGAATGGCCTTGAATAGTCATCCAGTTCTGAACAACCTTTCAACTGCCATGAGTTTTTGGCAGACTGAGTTTTTTTTTTTAATTTCAAAATATTAAGGGGGTACAAATGTTTTTGTCACATCAATGGCCTTTATAATGCTTAAGTAAGGGCTATAAGTGTGCCCATCACCCAAACAGTGTTCATTGTATCCGTTATATAGGTTTTTACCCCTCTCCTTCTCTCCCCTCCCCACTACTAGATTTGCAATGAGTTTTACTTCTCTCTGTGTCCATGTGTGCCCATAAGTTAGTTCCAAATTATTAGAGAGTACATATAGTGTTTATTTTTCCATTCTTGAGTTACTTCATTTAGGAAAATGGTCTATAGTTCTATCCACATTTCTGTAAAAAAAAACATTACTTTCTTTTTTTTATTGCTGAGTAGTACTCCATGGTGTATATACACCACATTTTGTTAATTCACTCATGAATTGATGGGCACTTGGGTTGATTCCATATCTTTGCAATTGTGAATTGTGCTACAATAAACATTCAAGTACAGGTGTCCTTCTGATAAAGTAATGACTTTTCCTTTGGCCAGCTACCCAGGAGTGAGATTGATGGATCAAATGGTAGGTCTACTTTTAGTTCTTTGACAAATACCCATACTGTTTTCCATAGGGGTTGTACTATTATAATTTACAGTCCCACCAACAGTGTATAAGTGTTCCCTTTTTCTCTGCATCCATACCGGCATCTATTGTTTTTGGACTTTTTAAGAATATCCATTCTGACAGGGGTAAGGTGATGCCTCATTGCTGCTTTAATTTGCATTGATTAGAGACACTGAGCATTTTTTCATATGTTTGTTAGCCATTTGTCTATCTTCTTTTGAAAACCTTCTGTTCATGTCTTTTGCCCACTTTTTAATGGGATTATTTGGTTTTTTTTCTTGCTGAATTATTTGAGTTCTTTGTAGATTCTGGATATTTGGCTCTTTTGGGGTGTATAGTTTTCAAATATTTTCTTCCATTCTGTAGGTTCTTTACTCTGTGGATTATTTCCTTAGCTGTTTAGGTTTCTGCAGTATGGGTACCAGCTCTTCTTTGTAGGTCTGGTAGAATTCGGTTGTAAATCCATCTGGTCCAGGTTCCTTTTTGTTGTTGTTCTTGGGGGATTTTTTAAATTGCTGCTTCGATCTTGCTGCTCATTATTGGTCTGTTCAGGGAGTGCTATTTCTTCCTGAGTGAGTCTTGGGAGATTGTGTGTTTCCAGGAATTTGCCCATTTTCTCTACGTTTTCTGGTTTATGTGCATAGAGATTTTCATAGCATTCATGGATAATATTTTGTATTCTGTAGTATCAGTTGTAATATCTCCTTTTCTATTTCTGATTGAGCTTATTTGGATCCTTGGTACTTGTAACTAAAATAGTTTTTTTCTTTAATTTTGTTTTTCAAAGAATGCCAAAAATTGCTTGTTTCCAAAATGTGGTCAAATATTCTTCCCTAATATCTCTAGCTTAGAATTTTCTTCTGGGTAGACATTTCCATCCACCACAGAAATGTCCAGAATAAATAGCCAAGGAATAAGCTAATTTATCTAACAGTAATTCATTTTTATGTTCTTCATTAAACAACATTTAAGGACACACACAATGTGCTAGCCATCGCTGTTGGCAGTGGAGATCAAAGATGAGAGAGAGTAGTCCTTTGATTCAAGGAATTCACAGTCTGTTAGAAGTGATTCAACTTTATGCAAATGCCAGAGGACAAAGCCCAACAGATAAATGTTGTGGAAGTTCAGAGATGGGAGATATTTACTTCCAGCTTGGAAGAAAAGAAAATGTAAGTTTAATTTTTAACCTTGCTTCCACTCTAAAATTCACACGGCCAGTTCTGATGTATTAATTATGTGGATTGTAGCCTCAGAATAAATACTGTGTTTATCTCAAGAATTTTAAAAAGGACTAAATGCTATTATGAAAAAAATGAAAACTCAACCAGAGGCATTAGAGGAAGCTGTTAAGTACAATCGGGAAGGTTATGTGGCTTCTCTGCTCCAGTGAGAAATGGCATAACACACTCTCTGCCTTTTGTAACCATTATTCTTTTGCTTATAGCCATTCTGCAGAATGGTTTTTGTCTCTCTTTCTCTCTCTCTCTCTCTCCCTCCCCTTCTCCCTCTCTTCTTCCCCACTTATGTTATAGACATGTCTTTCTTCCATGACTTATTTATCCCAGCAGTCTTCAGTAGCCACCTTTCCTAATTTATTTTTTGAAACTTCCTCATTTGCATCATTCACTCATCTCTCATGCCAGCTGGGAAAACTGGTGTTTGTAATAGTCATTTGGTAATTGGCATTCAATGAATGAATATTGGCTTGAATAACTCAGCTACAAAATAATAATACCTTATATTTTTATATCACTTTCTAGTTTTTAAATATTTTTGTATCTCATTTTTATAAATTTCAAAGACCTCCTGACATTAGTTGGCTTTATAGTGTGTAGCCCATCGGAGAGAAACTTGGACCCTATCAACATTTCATTTAGGGCCAGCACCCTATCTATAAGTCTAAGCTTGCTCCTGTGTTCATTGTCTCCTGCTCAGGACTTGCGAGGTTCACCCACCACCATCACTACCTCCACCAGTGAATGCATGCTCTTTTTACTTCTATTAAGCTTTAAGCCAGTGGGCTGCCCTCTGGCTGGTGGGACTGTTTCTCTGTAAAATGCTTGCTCACATTCCAGACTTCCTGTACTGGACCTCCCAGAGAACCATTTCCTTGTTTCTCACCTTGGGAGTAATAAACCTTTCTTTGATTTTACCAAAGGACTACTATTGAAACCTAGATTAGGGATTTAACCTGCTTGGAAATTCAATATTTACGTAAGGATTTAATTCAACAGGAAGATGAAAAAAGGGACTTACGCAACAAAGGCCAATGCAAATTAAAACCAAAATGAGATATCAGCTCATACCTAGTAGACTGGTTATTATTAAAAAAGACAAAAGATAAAAAATGTTGATAAGGATGTGGAGAAAAGGGAACCCTTTACACTGTTGGTGGGAATGTAAATAGGTACAGCCATTACAGAAAACAGTATAAATGGTCTACAAAAAATTAAATATAGAGCTCCAACAATCTCAGTTCTGGGTATGTATCCAAAGGAAATGAAGTCAGTATCTAAAAGCTATATTTGTACTCTCATGTTTATTGCAGAATTATTTATGATAGTCAAGATATAGAAACAACTTAAGTGTCTATCTACAGATGAATGGAAAACGAAATTGTAGTGTGTGTGGGCACATACACACATACACTAGAATATCATTCAGCCTTAAAAAAAAGAAGGAAATCCTTCCATTTGCAACAACATGGATGAATCTGGAGGACATTATACTAAGTGAAATAAGCTAGACACAGAAAGAAAAATTCTGCATGATCTCATTTACATGTGGAATCTTAAAAAGTCAATTTCCTAGAAGCAGAGTATAGATTTAGTGGGCAGGGTGAGGGGAAATGGGGAGGTGTTGGTATTAAGTTTCAGTTAGGTAGGATCAATAAATTCTAGAGATCTAATGTATAGCATGGTAACTGTACTTAATAATACTTTATCATATACTTGAAATTTGCTAAGAGAATAGATCTTATGTGTTTTCACCACACAAAAAAGGTTAACTATATGAAGTGATGGGTATGTTAAATTAAATCATTTTACAATGTATATATATATATCAAAACATTAAATTATATTTCAACAAAGCTGTTTTTTTTTAAAGGGGGCCCTATGGATTAGGTCAGATCCCAGACCTTTCTCCTCGAACCTCCCATGCCTGGCAGGCAGACTGAGCCACCAACCTTCTCCTCCCTCTAATGGGTGTTGGTGGCCTGGAGCACAGCCCATCCAACTGCAGCTGTCCTTAATACACATGTCCTCAGTAATTGGACTACTTTAGAGGAGAGTTGCCAATTATTACAGAAAACAGACATTGTCCTATTTTGTTCTCTTATGATCTATCACCATGCCAAATACCCTGAAGGAAAAGATGGCCTAACTAGTCCTGAACAGGCCTCCCTTTAGACTCAGACATCCTCCAGCTGTTCTTACAAGTATCTCCTCTCTTTTTTGAGCCTCAGTATTGCATTTGATAGGCCAGGCTACCAGGCTCTAAACAGATTAGAACTGTTGGCTGTGCATTTCTGACCCAGATGCCTTCATATACCAAATTCAAATACAGTGTGGCCTCAATAAAATTTTAATATCACAATAATTATAAAAATTTTAAATAAGCATCTCAAGAATAATGCTCCATCAGAACTCTATTCCAAATGTTTGGTACTGGAGGCTCAGGGATGTAGGATTCTCTAATCATTTGATTTTAGAAAAGTCTACAAGTGACAAGCCTTACTTTACAGCCCATTCAATTGCTACTTCTTCCTAATGCCATTCCTAACATTTCTAGGGCTTCTCTAGCTATGATGCCAACCATTGCTACAACCCAAGGCTTTCCTTTCATAGCCCCAGTAAACCCCACATGTATACCAAATGCCTTCTCTGACCTCCACCAGTGGAAGCCCCCTGCCTCTTTCCTTTATTAGAGACCTGTAAGTCATTAGATACTCTGATTATCTCTCATGGACATATGCTCATATATTTCATTGAAGGTATATTGGTCCTCACATAATTCTTAATTTTTCAGAGCCTTCACTGATGCCAGATACCAGGTCACCTTGATGCCCAGTAAGCCCTCAAAATTTAAAAAGGGAAAACCCTTAACAATCAGGTGTGTTGCAGAAGAACCCTATTGCTTAATGATTGCTATTGCAAAGTTCCCTAAAGTGCATTAACTTGCTTTCCTGTCAAGAAAAGGTCAGTATGCTGAACATGATTGATAATCTCTTTATAATCTCATGGTACAAAGTAACCATAGTACTCATTTCTGCTTCACCTGTGATGTTAGAAACCCTAGGATGACAAAGTAGTATTAAATGTGTATGAGCTCCAGCATATACCATGAAATAGTAAAATAGTAATGGATCTCCTGTCAGGAGCATACACATGTGCTGGGTAATTCACATGTATTATCTCTTAAATCCTTACAGTAAGTCTGTAAAGTAGTTACTATTGCCATCCCTATCTTCCAGAAGAGGAAAGTGGGACAAATTTCATGATCATTTAGTTAGTAAAAGACCAAGCTGGTTTTAAAGTCCATACCACTCTCCAAATTATAACCAGTGTTTCTCCTTCCTTTGATGTCTATGACAAGCAAAACAGTGGTCCCAGGAAGTTATCACGTCCTATTCTACAGAGCCTGTGAATGTCACCTTGCATGACAGAAGAGACATTGCAGATGCGATTAAGGTAAGGATGTTGTGGTGGGGAGATTATTTTTAGGATTATCTGGGTGAGCCTAATATAATCACAAGGGTACTTATAAGAGGGGGACAGGATAGAGATGTGACAGTGGAAGCAGAGGTTGGGCTGATACAGCCATGAAGCAAGGAATGCGGGCAGTGGATTCTCCCCTAGAACCTCCAGAACAAATGCAGTCCTGCTGACACTTTTATTTTAGCCCTGTAAGACCCATTTCAGACTCCTGACCTCCAGAACTGTAAAATAATAAATTTGTGTTGCTCTAAGGCCTTAGGTTTCTGGTAATTTGTTACAGCACAATATAGGAAATTAATTGTTCCATTTCAGTGAAATGTACTCTCCAGTAACACCACTTTTTATCTTATATTATATCAATTTTTAAAAATGATTGGGAATATATATTTTTTATTTTAAATATATATTTTTATATTTTTAAGACTTTTAAATTCTTGTATTTTCCTCTATACCTATCAAATCTAAATTTTTTTAGGGCCTATATTGTAATAGGCACTATCCTAGGCACTTTACAAATAAAGGCTCATTTGATCTCCCTAACAACCTGTTGTGCAGAAAGCTAGCTTTCCATACAAAATATGTGCTTCCCCTCCATAATGCAGAGCTGTTTTTAGAAATTGACTGCCCAGCCTGAGACAATATTTCCCATAAGTCTTCTTAACAAGTGTATCTAGATATGGCCACATGGTAAGTTTTTGCTAGTGAAATGTGAGCAGAGGTGATGTGATTAGGAAGCATGCATGCCTCTCCACTCTGCCTTTCCCCTTCCACAGCAACCTAGGAAACAAGGTGTTAATAATGACAGAACCATAAAGTGGCCCCTTTTCACCATTGCAATCTTTTATGAGCAATAAATAAACTTCTTTTGTATAATCTACTGAGACTTGGGGATTTACCTGTCACAGCAGCCGGTGTTGTGTTACCCATACTCTATCCTGTGAAGTATAGCCCCATGAAGTGTAACATGAAGGACTGACCTCATGTTTAATGAAAGTGAAACTGGGGCCCAGAATGATGAAATAACTCGACCAACGTCACAGATTTGAAAGTGGCAGGGCAGAATTCTGACTCCAAACACAATTTATTTTCTGCAAAACTATGGTTCATTTGTCTGTTGAAGAAAATCCATTTTTTAAAAAGTGAAATCTCTGAATCATAGATTTCTGGCACATGTGGTAAGAGACACAGCCAGCACTAGAACCAAAGGCTCCTTTTCATTGCCCATATTGCTCCTCTGGATGAGCTTGTTTTGTAGTCAACTTTTTTTCATAAAATGGTTTTCAAGTATTTTGATGTAGGATCGCTCATGGCTATAGAGTTTTCTCTCTAGAATGAAAAATAGGAAAAAATTTAATTATATTTTTGGAAAAAACCTCTGAGGCTATTGCACATATCTATGTTTCGTATATATATACCCCCTATATAGATATAGATATGCTATCTGTATTCCATCTATGCCTTCTTTTATTTTTAATCTCTTGTTCTATTGAGATTGAATTATCTTTGTGTTATAAAAATGAAAGTGGCAGAGTACTGAACAGATGGAGAGTTAAAAGAATGAACTGAGGATTCCACATCTTGACAGCCTGAAAATATGTTCTACTACAGTAAACATATTTTTAGCAAACAAATAATGGCAACCCACATGTTGATCTCTTACAAGAATTCTCTAGTTTGGCTCATTTATTATCTAAGTGTAGCTGAACTTTGCAAGAAACAGATATTTCCCATTCTTTTTAAGCCTAGAAGTGAATTTGAGAATGCCAGAGAACTGGGTAAAACTGTAAAACTACACTTAGGATTTTTCACTGGGTGAAATTTTTCTAGTGAGATCAGGACACTGGTACAGATTGGGCCATTTTGATCTCTGCTACTGTCTTGATTTCTTAATTTAACCTGGAAATTCCACTGTATAAAATTTTCTCCTCAAACCCATTATTTCTTTAATAATGACAGCTCTGGGAAATAGAGGGGTGAGATTTTGAATATATATATTGTGCCATGAGTCCCTGACAGACCCACTGTTTCTATGATTCTCCATGAGAAATTTTGATTTCAACTCAGCTTCTTTACATCAAGGAGTATCAATCCTGGAATGGAACTCGAGGGCATAGAACAAAGTGTCTGCCCAACTTCTGTTACCTGGGAACTGCCTTCAAACTCTACCTGCATACTAACTATGCTATTCATTTCTTAATAGTTTTTCTTGGCCAGGTATGGTGGCTAACAATTGTAATCATAGCACCAAGATCATACTGCCTTGATTACTGTAGCTATATCTTAAGCCCTAACATGGAGGAGAGTGATTCCTTATACTTTATTTTTCTTTTCCAAAATTAATTAGGCTATTCTAGGGCATTTCCCTTTTCATATACATTTTATAATAAACTTCTTTATATCTATAAAATCATACTTGAGTTTTTATAGGAATTTCATTAAATCTATAAATCAATTTGTGAACAATTGACGTCTTTATTACCGTGTTTCCCCGAAAATAAGACAGGGTCTTATATTTAGTTTTCTTCAAGAAGACACCCTGGAGCTTATTTCCAGGGGATATGTTATTTTCCTCTCAAAGCTTCAGTTTGCCCCACACACAGGATGACCAGGACCTGACAGGGGGTGCTGACCTTGTTGGTGGGGCTGCCTGCACCTTTCTAGTCACCTCTGGGATAGCAGCTGTCACAATGGGGCAGATGAGAAGGGCTGCTCATCTTATTTACCGCTCCATGACAAAATGCATGGGTTGTGCAGATACGCTTTGTAGCCACGCCCATCACTAGGTCTTATTTTCAAAGTAGGGCTTATATTGTGCAAATGCTTAGAAATCCTGCTAGGGCTTATTTTATGGGTAGGTCTTATTTTCAGGGAAACATGGTATGTTCAGATTTCCAGTCCATGAGCAGAATAAGTCTCCCCAGTTATTTAGCTTTTCTTTGATTTCCTTTGTCAGCATTTTGTAATTTTGAGCATATAGCTCCTATACATGTTTCTTTAAATTTATACGTAAGTATTTTTATTTTCCTTGGAGGAATCATAAATAGTATTATGCTTTTGATTTCAGTTTCCATATGTTCCATGTTGGCATACAAAAATGCAATTGATTCTTGTGTGTGTTGATTTTGCAGCATTGCTAAATTCACTCATTAGTTCTAGTTTTTCTAGTAGATTTCTTGGGATTTTCTATTTAGTAAATGATGTCATCTGCAGACAGAGAAGGTTTAATTTCTTCCTTTTCAATCTCTATGCCTTTTTTTTTCTTGCCTATTATGCTGCCTAGAACTTCAGTGCCATGTTAAATGAGAACAGTGAGAGTGAATATCTTTGTCTTATTTCTGATCTTACATGTAAAGTATTCAGTCTTTTACTATTAAATATCATGTTAGCTGATACTGATATGATTATATGATCTTTTTCCATCAGCCTATTGATATAGTGGATTACATTTGTTAATTTTGAATATTTAACTAGCCTTGCACATATGGAGTAAATTCCACTTAGGTGTTTTTTTCGTATATTGCTGAATTTGATTTGCCAATTTTTAAAAATAATTTTTGTGTCTAAGTTTATGAGAGTTATTGGTACATAGTTTTTTTGTTTGTTGTTTGTTTTTTGGTACTGTCTTTGTCTGGTTTGGTATCAGGGTAATGCTGAACTTATAAAATTATTAGGGGAGTATTTCTTCCTCTTATTTTCTAGAAGAAATTATATAAAATTGTGCTAATTCTTTAAATATTTGGTAGAATTCTCTATGAAATCATGAGAGTCTGGAAATTTTCCTTATAGAAGCTTTTTAATTACAAATATAATTTCTTTAATGGTGATAAGACTAATCAGGTTATCTTCTCTATCTTAGTTATGTTTTGGAAACTTGGATTTTAAGACATTGGTCCACTTCTTCTAAGTTGTCATATTTATAATTCAAAATTATTCATAGTATTCTTTTATTATTCTTTGGATGACTGTAGGATCTCTAGTGATAGCCCCTGTTTCATTCCTGATATTGGTGATTTATATTGTTTTTATTTTTATCTTTATCAGTTTTGCTAGATATTTATCAATTTTATTATTTTCAAAGAACCAGTTATTTTATTTTATTTATTTTCTCTATAGTTTTCATGTTTATAATTTCGTTTATTGCTATTCTTATCTTTATGATTTTCTTCCTTTTGATTTCTTTAGGTTTACTTTACTCTTATTTTTAATAATTTATTGAGATAAGACCTTAGGTTACTAAGTTGAGATCTTTCCCATTTTCTAATATAAATATTTAATGCTAATAATTTCCCTCTCAACACCACTTTGACTGCATTCTATAAATTTTCATGTGTTAGCAATCAGACATGAAAGTGGAATTAAAGGTATCCAAATGGGGGCAGAAGAGATCAAACTTTCACTGTTTGCTGACAATATGATATTATATTTAGAAAATCCCAAGGATTCAACCAAGAGACTCCTGGAATTGATAAATGAATTTAGTAAAGTCTCAGGATACAAAATCAATACACACAAATTGGAGGCATTCCTATACACCAATAACAGTCAAATTGAGAACCAAATCAAAGACTTGATACCCTTCACAATAGCAACAAAGAAAATAAAGTGCCTAGGAATATACTTAACTAAGGAGGTAAAAGACCTCTACAGGGAGAACAATGAAACACTGAGGAAGGAAATAGCAGAGGACGTAAACAGATGGAAATCCATACCATGCTCATGGGTCAGCAGACTCAACATTGTTAAAATGTCTATACTACCCAAACTTGATCTACAGATTCAATGCAATCTCTATTAAAATCCCAACATCAATTTTCACAGATATAGAAAAAATAATTTTACACTTCATTTGGAACCAGAGAAGACCCCGTATATCAAAAGCAATTCTAGGCAATAAAAACAAAATGGGAGGTATCAATATGCCAGATGTCAAACTATACTACAAAGCTGTAGTAATTAAATCAATTTGGTATTGGCACAAAATAGGAATATTAACCAGTGGAACAGAACTGAGAACCCTGATATAAAACCATCCTCATATAGCCATCTAATCTTCAACAAAGCAGACAAAAACATTCACTGGGGAAAAGTATCCCTATTCAATAAATGGTGCTG